CTTTCTCCTTCACCATTCAGCAGAAATTTAAGGGTACTTTTTTCTTCCTGCTTTTTCATTTCTCATTTTGGTTTTCCTGCTGAGAACTCTCACTGACCTGCCTCCTGCTTGTGCGTCTTCTCTGCCATCTTGGCCCCTGTCTGCTACTTCTCTTGTGCTTGTGCTGTGGTTGGCTCCTCCCTCCCTGGGTGCTCTGGGTGACCTCAGATTCAGAGCCCGTCTGTTCCTGAGGTTCCTGAAGGGGCAGTCTGCCTTTGCGCAGATGTGGAGAGCCTTTGTCTGCAGGGGGATGCTGACTGGCCTGACTCTCCTTGTTGCTTTTTTTAAAAATCTAAACTATTTTAAAAATGGTTTATTTATTTGAGAGAGAGAGAGAGAAAGAGAGAGCACGCGCACAGAGGGAGAAGGAGGAGACTATCCTCTGAGCAGGGAGCCTAAAGCGGGGCTCCATCCCAGGACCCTGAGATCATGACCTGAGCCGAAGGCAGACGCTTAACTGACTGAGCCATCCAGGTGCCCCACTAAACTGTTTTTTAGAACAGTTTTAAGCTTTACAGAAACATTGTGAAGGTAGTATAGGGAGTTCTCTTATACCCCACACCCAGTTTCTCCTGTTATTGACGTATTAGTGAGGTATATTTGATACAATGAAATGAACTGATATTGATGGGTTATCATGGTAGGCAGAACGGATTCAAGCCTGTGTTAGGCTCCATGGCAAAGGGGAATTGAGGGTGCAGGTGGAATTAGTTGGGTTACTAATCAGCAGATCTTAATATAGGGGTGGTCAGCTCAATATGATCCCAAGTGTTTTTAAAACTGGAGGAGGAACTCATCCTGGTGTTGCCGGCTTTGAAGATGGAGGAAGGGGCCTCTTGGAGCTGGAAAAGGGAAGCAAAGCGATTCTTACCTTGAGCCTCCGAAAGGAATGTACCTGTTGACACCATGATTCTAGCTCAGTGAGATCTGTACCGCACCTCTGACCTGCAGAACAGTGAAGTAATAAATTTGTTTTGTTTCAAGCTCTTGTGTTATTGTCGGAGCAGCAGTAGAAAACCAGCACAGTGATGGCTCACCGAAGTCCGTGTTTTATTCAGGTTTCGCCAGCCTTCTTCTGCTCCAGGGTCCCTCTGAGGATACCACTTCCCTTGTAGCTGTCATCTTGGCTGTGACCGTTTGTCAGGCGTGTTTTTAATGACTTGGCTGGTTCTGGGAGTACCGGCCAGGCATCTCCTCCGCGTCGTGCTCGAGGCTCATTCACTCGTGTTGGCTCCGTCTCTTCAGACTGGCTCAGCATGCTCTGTCGTTGTTTCTGGACAGGATGTGTGGATTGCTAAGAACTGAAGAAATGGTGCCTTAGTGTGAGTTTTTTGGGCTTCTGATCAGGACTTGGGCTGTGTTTGGGGTGGGGGCAGTAACAGCTGCCTGAGGTTCTCCGATTCCTCAGGTGTCCTTGCTTTGGTCTCTCTGTCTTTGGGCTTCTTTAAGAATGAGCTGCAGGGTGCCTGGCTAGCTCTGTCGGTAGAGCATGTGACCTTTTAAAAAAGATTTAATTAATTTATTGGCGGGGAGCAGGAGAGAGTGCACGCGTGTGTTCCAGCAGGGAGAGGGAGAACCTCTTCAGCAGACTCCACACTGAGCACGGAGCTTAAGGGGGCGCTCCATCTCATGACCCCAAGATCATGACCTGAACGGAAACTAGGAGTCTACGCTTAACTGGCTGAGCCACCGAGGGGCCCCAGAGCATAGGACTCTTGATCTCAGAGTCACGAGTTCAAGCCTCACATTGGGCATAGAACTTACTTAAAAAAACAAACCTGAAAAACTCAAACTCCTCGCATGGACTCTGAGTCTTTCAGCTCTTCCCAGCTGTCAGGCCGGAGTCTATTGATAAGGTGGTAAAGTACAGGGAAGAGAAGTGCCCTGTAAATCTTAGAGAATCTCGGTCTTTCAGTGGGTCTGTGTTCCTGGGATGTGTCCTTAATAGTGTTTCTTGGACGCCTCCCTCCCCCACCCCCCCACTTAGATGAGACTGGGAGACAGGAGCAGGTTGGAGTCAGAGAAACACCCTTTGCCCAGCTGGGGTGAGGTTCTGGAAAAGTCTTTCCTGTGGAGAGCAGGCCTGTGTTATGGAGAATGCTCTGAGCTCACTGCACTGTGAGGACTCTTGGTTCCCTGGGTGCGCGTGTGGGGGTTTTTCCCGGCTCTTCGTAATGAGAACCTAGTGTTAAAACTGTGGGTTTGGGGCCCCCTACGACCATGGCCATCAGGAGTTTCTGACTGTCCTGCTAGTCCATACTCAGCCCCCAGCAGTTTGTCAAAACCACCCCTGAAGTGTTCCTACCACATTATGGCCCCAGCGGCTTTTCCTTCAGGTGAGCAGATATTGGCTGTGACTTTGGACTGTCCATTCTCTCCAGATTTCTGGGTTATGATTTTGACCTGTGACCTTAGTTCTCTGATGGGTCCCAGAAAGGCCTCTGATTGCTAGTTTGCTCACTTCTTGTTATGACGGGCATGAGGACTTCAAATTCTTTACGGGGTAGTGCTGAAGCTAGATGTCCCTTTTTCGCTTCATTGCTGTCCTCCCCACCTTCCCACCCCTGAAGTTCGGTACGGTACCAAGTTGGTTGTGTTGGTATAAGACATCCTGATCACTGCAAAAACTCCTGGGTCTTGAAGAGAAAAAAATCACTCTTTCAGATCAAGAAGACCGCTTTGGTGCTGTGTTCATGCTGTTATTTCCCACCCTTCTCACTTCCTTCTTCTGTTGCTCAGGTTTGTCTTATTAGCAAACTAGATGCGGATTTTACAACTGATCTCTTAAACTGGGAAGTGCTAAGTCTGCATGTGGGATGGGTGGGGTTTTTTAGCACCTTTCTAGTGTCCCTCCACTTCCCTATCACTCATGCCCCCCTCCAGGCTATGACAGACAAACATGTTCTATCAGTCTTGTACAAATGCATCTTTAACTGTATACCCCCGCCCCCCACCCTCTGCTTTTAATCACTATAGCTTCCCTAAGCAGCTGCACTGGTTCTGTGTTAAAGTAACAGCCCCTTAATCCACCTTACAGCTTTCAGCCCCTCTCAGTTATCTGTAAGTCAAGTGCAAACCAGTAAGGGGGCAAAAATTCTGAGCAGCGTAAGGAATAATTGCTATAAAAAACTCATGTACCTTTCCTTCTTTCCCTCAAGCCATTAATTAGGACAGGTCAAGGTGATTGTATGGGTGGGGTGGGTAGATAGTCGGAGCCTGAACAGGGTGAAGAGGGCATCTGTCAGAAAGGGGACGTTGGAGCAACAGGAGGATGGATCAGATAAGTAAATACATTAAGAATAATGGAAGCTGGGTTCCCCAGTGTTGGAGAAGAGAGTTGCAAATGTGGAAGGAAACTGGAACAACGTGGTATGCGATCGCCATTGGAGGTACTGGTGTGAACTCCGTTTTTTTTTTTTTTTAATATTTTATTTTTATTTATTTATTTGAGAGAGAGAGAGAGACAGAGCATGAGCGAGGAGAAGGTCAGAGGGAGAAGCAGACTCCCCGTGGAGCTGGGAGCCCGATGTGGGACTTGATCCTAGGGCTCCAGGATCATGACCTGAGCTGAGGGCAGTCGTTTAACCAACTGAGCCACCCAGGCGCCCCTGAACTCCGTTTTTAAGTATAAAATCAGCATAAAGATAAAATTGTTAATGTGTACTTGTGTATACATATGTAAACACACATATACCCATACATATATGCATATCCATGCATCTCTGTCCACTGAGGGTTCTGGGAGCAAGCACCCCCAGAGCAGTAAATGTACGTGGCTCCCAGATCTTGGCTTTTAAATACTATTCTTCACTGAATGAAGCAGGGCTTCTTGGAGAAATGGCTGATTCCAGGGCTAGAGCAGGAAAAAAAAATCAGGATGAACTGGGATTATTTGACCATGCCAGAGAGTAGAAGGAGTAATGGGGACACGTCCAAAGGACACAGAAACCAGCTTGAAGAGGCTTCCACTGGCAAAGTCAGAGACCATGCGAACATCAAAATAATCGTAATACTAGACTGGATAAAGTAGGAAAACACGAAACCATACTGATAGAAATAAATGAGTTGAAAATTTAACGAGGAACATAGTTTCAGAGTACTTCACAGAATACTTGTTAATTACAAAGGGAAAAAGGAGTCACTTTACAGTGCAGAAGCTTGGCAAACACTCTTTATGAACAGTGGGACAATATAAAATTGTCTGCCACCTGGTGTGTGGGAGTGTGTGTTTCTGTGTTTGCTGTGGATTCATGATGATATTCATTACAACAGAATGATAAGCCTTTACTTTGTATGCTTTATGGTCTGTGAAGGATTCAGTTTATTATTTGCTTCTCATAGTCCCCTTCTGGAGTAGGCAAGGATTATCATCTACCTTTGAGATGATGATATAATAATAACGGTACTTCTTACACCCAGGCAATAAATAGTCTAAGACCTTTTGAATGTTGCATGTATTAATTCTCACAATTACCCTAGAGGTAGGTATACTGTGATTATTCCCTTTTACAAAGGAGACCAAGGCACGGAGAGGTTAAGTAACTTGCCCAAGGTCACACAACTTGAAAACTGGAGAGCTGGGACTTGAGTCAGGCATTCTGACTACAGATCCCAGCTCTTCCATACGGAGACATGTTGCCTCTGTAATGGAGATGCTGAGGAAAGCAGGCAGGTTAGATGACTTGTCTAGGGCCCCTTGTTCCCTCTGGTCATTGGATTATGCAAATCTGTACTGAGGGCCTGTTAATGTCAGGCCCTGTTTCAGATGTTGGGTGACTGGTACTAGGCAGCCCGAGCCCTGGGCCTCATGGAGCTCGGGCTCCTCAGAGCTGAGTTGAAGAACTTGACCCAAGCCTGCTGCTTTCCGGTGTTGAGTCTAGATGCCAACTGAACTGTTTGCAGGAAGTAGGCAGCTAGTCTGTCCCCGTGCTCAGAGGTGCCCTTTCTTTTTTCTTTTGAAGGTCGCCTGGTAGGCGCTCTGGATGCAGTGCTGGACTCCAATGCACGGGTCGCTCCATTTCGAATTCTGCTTCAGGTGCCTGGGTCCCAGGTTTATTCTCCCATAGCATGTGGTGAGTTACTGAGTGGATCAGACGTTTACTGGGCCATAGCCACTGGTGAGTTTTGTTCTGGTTGGAATATTCCAAACCTTACGGTCTAAGCATGCTGAGTATCTGCATGTTGATGAAGCTTGAAGGTAACTCCTTTTAGTAACTCATCTGCTTTTATGAGCTCTTTTTTTCTTTTTCTTTTTTTTTTTCCAGCCATCAAAAGCACATAAAGACTACATGCTTGGGCACCTTAGCTTGGGCATGCCAGGCTTCTGCGTGGTGTGTTATTCCCGGATGCTCGATCTCATTAAGTATGAATGGAGCCCTTTTTTCCTTAATTTTGTTTCTGACCTAACGAACATCTTCCTGGGTGTGTACACCTGTGGTAATGGGATAGGGGAAGCATCTGAGGGCTGTGTCTGACTCAGGGCAGTCTTCACCCTCCTTGTCCCACATTTATGCTGCATCACTGGACTGCTGTGCCCCATGGGAATTTCAAAATCCCCTCACCCTCTTCATCTGGGGTTTCAGTCTTCCTGCACAATCTAATGGTCTACCTGTTACACCAGCGTCTTGGGGGCTGGGAATTGTTGCATCTGAGGAGCCCTTTCTATTCAAAACCAAAAATAAGATGTGTCTTTTTAATACTCAAGTCATAAATGTTCACCTTCCAGAAGCTAAGCTGGTAAGAGAGAAGGACAAGGAAATCTTCCATACCCCTCTACCAGTGCTGATCATTCTTCTGTGTACATGGGCTAATATACATAGGGACTTCTAATTTTGTTTTTTCTCTTAACACTTTACTAGGTACCATATATTTCCATTACTGCACATTCTTTAACATCAAATTTTTTTTTCCTGGAAAAATGTAAAGACAGAGAAGAAAATTTTTAGCATATCCACCATCCAATTCTAAGCACTGCTAATATCTTGGTATTTTTTCCCCCAGTCTGTTGTGTTTTGTTCTAGTTAAGATGAATCCTTCTGTATTTGTATAAAATCATAAAAATGGCACACATTCGATATGATCCATCAACACTTGACAAGTACAAAGAAGAGAATGTGTCTCACCCCACATCCTAGCCACCCAAAGTTAACCTCTGGTCACCCTGGGTTCACCTCATCGCACACTTTATACTGCTTTTAGGGCAGGGATGATGATTGTTTTGAAGACAGAAGTACCTTTGTAAAAATGCAGCCTGCTATTTTGTAATAAAATAATTACAGTGCTAATAATTGACCATGGTATTTTGTAACAAAAGTATTACATTTTTCTTGATCTCAGTATACCAGAAGCTGAAGTAAAACCAGAGAAATGTTAAAGTTCAAAAATAAATGTTTCCTTAACACGAGAGCTTATTTTCTAAAAGGTTCATGGAAGGTTGAGGGAAGAGATTTGTGAAAGCATCACAGGGTTAGGATTGTGGCTTTTTAAAGCAGTGTTGCAATTCTGACCATTTGCTTTCACTCCCCAGTTGAGAGGACGAGGATGCCATCATTCTTATTCTTCCCCCTTCCTCTCCAGTTTCTCATTTAAAAATGTGTTATTAACTTCATGTTGTACTTTTCATTCTGTCACCATGCTGTCCATCATTTTTTGGCTCTGTCCTCAATTTAAATGGATCTAATGCTTTTACTCAGGTATGGTTTTCCTAATACAGAATCTTTAATTTTGGCTTCTCTCTCTCTCTTTAAGTAGACTCCATGCCCAATGTGGAGCCCAACATGGGGCTTGAACTTACAACCTGAGATCAAGACCTGAGCTGAGATCAAGAGTCGGATGGGTCGATGCCCAACTGACTGAGCCACACAGGCACCCAATTTTGCCTAATGTCTTGATTGCCTAGATTCCTGTTTTCTTCTCCCAGTAATATCTCACATTTACAAGGATGTGTCCCTTGCTTTTGGACTTGAGTAACACCTTGGCTGGGTGTGATAGTCTCTGGCCTTCTAGAGCATAGTGGCCATTACTCTAGGGTCTTCCCGTATTTAACAAGACAATGGGAGAAATCTCAGGCAGGTTTTTTTTTTTTTTTTCTCCTCCTTTTTAGCCCCTTATGGGTGATGTGCTCTTCGTGCCTATAACTATCTGTATCTCTGAGGTTAAGTAGTTCAGTAACTTGGTTGTGAACTGTTACTGCTTTGAGTGCATTGTGTTAAAATTTTCTGGAATTCAGTGTGCTCTTTCAGTATACAGATTGATTTCTTTAATCACTTCAGGAAATTTTCTTGTTTTCTATGTATATTTTTTTAAAAATGTGTTTAATGTTCCATTTATTGGAATCCCTACCTCAGATTCTTTCTGTTGGATAACTTGTCTACTTTTCATTCTTGGTTTTTTTTTTTTTAAAGATCTTATTTTTTTATTTGACAGATCACAAGTAGGCAGAGAGGCAGGCAGAGAGAGGAGGAAGCAGGTTCCCTGCTGAGCAGAGAGCCTGATATGGGGCTCGATCCCAGGACCCTGGGATCATGACCTGAACTGAAGGCAGAGGCTTTAACCCACTGAGCCACCCAGGTGCCCCTTCATTCTTGTTTTTATCTGTCTCTTCAACTAGCATCCTGCATGCTGTTCGTAATCCTTTTCTGAGTGAATAATTCTGTTTTCAGCCATGTATCGCACACTTCATTGCTTTAACTTACTCATTCAATTGTGTTTTAATTTATTTAGAGAGGGAGAGAGCACGTGAGCAGGGGCAGAAGGAGAGAGAACATCTCAAGCAGATTCCATGCTGAGCGCGGAGACCAATGTGGGGCTCGATCTCAGGACCCCAAGGTCATGACCTGAGCTGAAATCAAGAGTCGGATCCTCAACTGACTGAGCCACCCACGCGTCCCTCATTTAGCTGTGTTTCCATCATTTTCTTGGGTGTCTCCTCTCCCTTTTCTCTGTTTTTTTTTTTTATTTTCTCATCTTGGCACTCTTACTTTCCTGAGTTCATGTTCTTCCTGTCTTACCGCATGAAGCATTTATGAGAATTTCCCTTTCCTCCTTCAGGCTTCCATTTTCCTTCTAGGACACAGTCCCTGTCTTCGGAACACCTTGTGCTCCTTTGTTTCTCCCCTTTTGCTGCCAGGTTTGGTTGCTGTGCTCTTCCTCTGCACCCCATTCATGCTTGACATGGTCCTCTAAGACTGACCCTGTGGCATTTGCACCAACATAGGAGGACTGTTGGACTAGTATTTGGGGGACAGAGTGGAGAGGACAGGTGTGCTGCTGGGTTGGATATGGGGTGTGAGACAGCAAGCCCCTGTTTCTTCCTCCAGTTTCTCTCTGGTTTCTCTCCTATCACTTTGCCCCAGGCCAGACAGTGGGTCTTGCTCTGGCTTTGGCGCTTTTGATGTGAACCTCAAGAGTTTTGTCTCCTCACTAGATTGGTTTCTGGGGAGTCTTCAGAGTGGGGACCCTGCTCAGTTCCTGAATCTGTGTGGCTGAGGCAGGGGGAGGATCTAAAGTAGCACTCGGGGTTCATGGAGCATCTCAGACCACAGCGAATTTATGGCTGCACAGCCCTCAACCTTATGGCTATAGCCTAATTTACTCTTCCAGTCCCTTATTAGATGCTTAATTAGTTCTGATTTTTCAGTATTTTAAAAACCTAAATGAACAATCATACACTTAAATATTTCAGGATACTTCCCAATTCCCAAAGTCCGTTCATGTGAAATGTTAGGTGCCTGCCATGTACCAGACTCATGCTTGGTGTCGGGGGTTCGTGAGTGAGCGTGTGAAGGATGGTCTCCCTCCACCCGGCTTCACAGGGCCCTGGGGAATCCAGAGAGCAACCCGCAAGTGGCAGGTAGAGCTGGAATGAGGATTAGGAAAGTAGGAGGCGGCAAGACCCTTGACCAGCATGTAGTAAGGAAGTTCTGCAGCAGCCGGGGGATGTACTTTCTAAGGCCATCTGTCCATGTATCGCCAAACTGCGTGCCATAACGGTTGCAGCTGCTTACACTCTCCCTACCCCCTTCGCCCCCTGCCTCGCCCCACCCTGGCAGTCCTGAGCAGGTTGAATTCCTCGAATGTTCTTTCTCTTGAGCCAGGATCTGCTTCCTTTAGTTTCTACTTGGCTGAGGGTTTGCCTTGGCCCCGATCCGTGGCAGGTCTAGGATGCTTCATGTTCTGCTGTATTAGCCACGGAAAGTCCCCTGTGTGAGCGGTGGTTCTTTCCAGTGCTGCTTCTCTTGGGTTGGGGAAGAGAGGACAGGGAGGGTATTTGTATCCTGGGCTTGTGGTACTGATGGAGATACTTAGGCCTCTCCTGGGAGTTACTTAGGCATCCTGCACTGTGATATTGACTCACCATATTTAATATTTTATTGTGTCTTGAGCATTGAGAAAGGATCCCTGCCCAGGGTTTTAAGTCTCTGATAAAGCAAAAACAAGAACTGTAGGAAGGGCCTGGGCGGCACCAGGACGTGGGCAGGAACAGGAAGAGTGGCACGCAAGAATGATTTATATCTTCATTTGATTTTTGCACGGCAGTGCACGGGGCCTATAGGAGAGCTTTTGAGAAGAATTTTCTTTTTCTTCTTCCCCCCCTTTTTTTTTTCTTGCTTGTTTTTAAGCAGAGGTGGAAGAGCTAGGTCGATAATCCCCTGGGTGAGACTACTACTTGGCAGCGGATCTGTGGATGATTGTGGTCAGAAAGGGATAAGGATAAGTTGCTATTATTTTTTGACTTACATGGACCAAGGAATCTAAAAGCTTTATAAACCTCACTGTCCTCAGTGGCTAAAAGATGCATGGTGAGTGTGGTGAGGACTTGTGTAAGAGAAGGGTGTGGAGGGCTGTGCCCTACTTTTCAGTTGGCGCTCAGATGCCCCCTCCAAGAGACCCCACCCCTGCCTACACACCCCTCCAACTGCTTCCCCCACTCTGCTGGTGGAGCCCTTCCAGCAGTTACACTGTTGTCAATTCACATTTTTTTTTTTTCTTTTGGGTCTGCCCTCTAATGAAGATAAAAAGTTCTCTCGGGGTCCTGCCCACCGCTAACCCTCCAGGGTCCAGGATAGAGTGTGGTATTCCGTAAATAGTAGGCCTGCAAATAAGCCAGAGCAGTCAA